TGGCAGAGCGTTCCATGATGACATGGCTCTACACATTACTGAGTATCCTCTGGTGGCAGATCGTTCCATGATGACATGACTCTATACATAACTGAGTATCCTCTGGTGGCAGAGAATTCCATGATGACATGGCTCTACACATAACTGAGTATCCTCTGGTGGCAGATCGTTCCATGATGACCTGACTCTATACATAACTGAGTATCCTCTGGTGGCAGATCGTTCCATGATGACATGGCTCTATACATCACTGAGTAACCTCTGGTGGCAGAGCATTCCATGATGACATGGCTCTATACATAACTGAGTATCCTCTGATGGCAGAGCATTCCATGATGACATGGCTCTATACATAAATGAGTATCCTCTGGTGGCAGATCGTTCCATGATGACATGGCTCTATACATAACTGAGTATCCTCTGGTGGCAGATCATTCCATGATGACATGGCTCTATACATAACTGAGTATCCTCTGGTGGCAGAGCATTCCATGATGACATGGCTCTATACATAACTGATTATCCTCTGGTGGCAGAGCATTCCATGATGACATGGCTCTATACATAACTGAGTATCCTCTGGTGGCAGATCGTTCCATGATGACATGGCTCTAAACATAATTGAGTATCCTCTGGTGGCAGATCGTTCCATGAAGACATGGCTCTATACATCACTGAGTAACCTCTGGTGGCAGAGCATTCCATGATGACATGGCTCTACACATCACTGAGTATCCTCTGGTGGCAGAGCATTCCATGATGACATGGCTCTATACATAACTGAGTATCCTCTGATGGCAGAGAATTCCATGATAACATGGCTCTATACATAACTGAGTATCCTCTGGTGGCAGATCGTTCCATGATGACATGGCTCTGTACATAACTGAGTATCCTCTGGTGGCAGATCGTTCCATGATGACATGGCTCTATACATAACTGAGTATCCTCTGGTGGCAGATCGTTCCATGATGACATGGCTCTATACATAACTGAGTATCCTCTGGTGGCAGATCGTTCCATGATGACATGGCTCTATACATAACTGAGTATCCTCTGGTGGCAGAGCATTCCATTATGACATGGCTCTATACATCACTGAGTATCCTCTGGTGGCAGATCGTTCCATGATGACATGGCTCTATACATAACTGAGTATCCTCTGGTGGCAGAATATTCCATGATGACATGGCTCTACACATCACTGAGTATCCTCTGGTGGCAGATCGTTCCATGATGACATGGCTCTATACATAACTGAGTATCCTCTGGTGGCAGATCGTTCCATGATGACATGGCTCTATACATAACTGAGTAACCTCTGGTGGCAGAGGTTTCAAGCAGACCACCATAGTCCCCGTGCCCAAGAACTCTAAGATAACCTGCCTAAATGACTACCGACCCGTAGCACTGACGTCTGTAGCCATGAAGTGCTTTGAAAGACTGGTCATGGCTCACATCAACAGCATAATCCCAGAAACCCTAGAACCCACTCCAATTTGCATACCGCCCCAACAGATCCACAGATGACGCAATCTCTATCGCACTCCACACTGCCCTTTCCCACCTGGACAAGAGGAACACCTACGTGAGAATGCTATTCATTGACTACAGCTCAGCATTCAACACCATAGTGCCCTTTAAGCTCATCACTAAGCTAATGATCCTGGGACTAAACACCTCCCTCTGCAACTGGATCCTGGACTTCCTGACGGGCCGCCCCCAGGTGGTAAGGGTAGGTAACAACACATCTGCCACACTGATCCTCAACACGGGGGCCCCTCAGGGGTGCGTGCTCAGTCCCCTCCTGTACTCTCTGTTCACCCATGACTGCATGGCCAGGCACGACTCCAACACCATCATTAAGTTTGCCGACGACACAACAGTGGTAGGCCTGATCACCGACAACGATGAGACAGCCTATAGGGAGGAGGTCAGAGATCTGGCCTTGTGGTGCCAGGACAACAACCTCTCCCTCAACGTGACCAAGACAAAGGAGATGATTGTGGACTACAGGAAAAAAAAGAGGACTGAGCACGCCCCCATTCTCATCGACGGGGCTGTAGTGGAACAGGTTGAGAGCTTCAAGTTCCTTGGTGTCCACATCACCAACGAACTATCATGGTCCAAACACACCAAGACAGTCGTGAAGAGGGCATGACAAAGCCTATTCCCCCTCAGGAGACTAAAAAGATTTGGCATGGGTCCTCAGATCCTCAAAAAATTATACAGCTGCACCATCGAGAGCATCCTGACTGGTTGCATCACCGCCTGGTATGGCAACTGCTTGGCCTCTGACCGCAAGGCACTACAGAGGGTAGTGCGTACGGCCCAGTACATCACTGGGGCAAAGCTCCCTGCCATCCAGGACCTCTATACCAGGCGGTGTCAGAGGAAGGCCCTCAAAATTGTCAAAGACTCCAGCCACCCTAGTCATTTACTGTTCTCTCTGCTACCGCACGGCAAGCGGTACCGGAGTGCCAAGTCTAGGTCCAAAAGACTTCTCAACAGCTTCTACCCCCAAGCCATAAGACTCCTGAACAGCTAATCATGGCTACCCGGACTATTTGCACTGCCCCCCCACCCCATCCTTTTTACGCTGCTGCTACTCTGTTAAGTATTTATGCATAGTCACTTTAACTCTACCCACATGTACATATTACCTCAACTACCTCAACTAGCCGGTGCCCCCGCACATTGACTCTGCAACGGTACCCCCCTGTATATATAGCCTCCCTACTGTCGCTTTATTTTACTGTATATATAGCCTCCCTACTGTCACTTTATTTTACTTCTGCTCTTTTTTTCTCAACACTTTTTTTGTTGTTGTTTTATTCTTACTTTTTTTTTTTTTTTTTTATAAATGCACTGTTGGTTAAGGGCTGTAAGTAAGCATTTCACTGTAATGTCTGCACCTGTTGTATTCGGCGCATGTGACCAATAAAATTTGATTTGAGGGGATTTGATTTGGCAGAGCATTCCATGATGACATGGCTCTACACATCACTGAGTATCCTCTGGTGGCAGAGCATTCCATGATGACATGGCTCTACACATAAATGAGTATCCTCTGGTGGCAGAGCATTCCATGATGACATGGCTCTATACATAACTGAGTATCCTCTGGTGGCAGATCGTTCCATGATGACATGGCTCTATACATCACTGAGTATCCTCCGGTGGCAGATCGTTCCATGATGACATGGCTCTATACATAACTGAGTATCCTCTGGTGGCAGATCGTTCCACGATGACATGGCTCTATACATAACTGAGTATCCTCTGGTGGCAGATTGTTCCACGATGACATGGCTCTATACATAACTGAGTATCCTCTGGTGGCAGATCGTTTCATGATGACATGGCTCTATACATCACTGAGTATCCTCTGGTGGCAGATCGTTCCATGATGACATGGCTCTATACATAACTGAGTATCCTCTGGTGGCAGATCGTTCCATGATGACATGGCTCTATACATAACTGAGTATCCTCTGGTGGCAGATCGTTCCATGATGACATGGCTCTATACATAACTGAGTATCCTCTGGTGGCAGATCGTTCCATGATGACATGGCTCTATACATAACTGAGTATCCTCTGGTGGCAGATCGTTCCATGATGACATGGCTCTATACATCACTGAGTATCCTCTGGTGGCAGATCGTTCCATGATGACATGGCTCTATACATAACTGAGTATCCTCTGGTGGCAGATCGTTCCATGATGACATGGCTCTATACATAACTGAGCATCATCTGGTGGCAGATCGTTCCATGATGACATGGCTCTATACATCACTGAGTATCCTCTGGTGGCAGAGCATTCCAGGATGACATGACTCTATACATAACTGAGTATCCTCTGGTGGCAGATCGTTCCATGATGACATGGCTCTATACGTCACTGAGTATCCTCTGGTGGCAGATCGTTCCATGATGACATGGCTCTATACATAACTGAGTATCCTCTGGTGGCAGATCGTTCCATGACGACATGGCTCTATACATCACTGAGTATCCTCTGGTGGCAGAGCATTCCAGGATGACATGACTCTATACATAACTGAGTATCTTCTGGTGGCAGAGCATTCCATGATGACATGGCTCTATACATCACTGAGTATCCTCTGGTGGCAGATCGTTCCATGATGACATGGCTCTATACATCATTGAGTATCGTCTGGTGGCAGATCGTTCCATGATGACATGGCTCTATACATAACTGAGCGACACATTAAATCTGTTTTTGGTACAGTGAAGAAACCCATAGTGGCGTGTCTGGTGGGGTGTGTATGTCTGTTTGAAGTTTATGCACATAGATTATACAAGTGATTAGACGTTTTCCACAAATGTTTCTTTAAAAGACGAAGAGTAGTCAGTTTCAACCATGAAAGACTATCATGCATGTTGTAGATGTTAGTTCTGTGTGTGCAGTTAAGGGCAAGGCGTGCTGCTCTGTTTTGAACCAGCTGCAGCTTTGCTAGGTCTTTTCTTTGCTGCACCTGAACATATTACCGGACAGTCATCAAGACGGGACAAGACAAGAGCCTGAACAACTAGTACAGTAGATCTTTGTGTCAAAAACACAGAACATCTTTTAATAAACAGACGTACCCCTCCCTATCTTCACAACAACTTTGTCAATATGGCTTGACCATGATAACTGACCATCCAATGTTACTCCTAGGAGTTTAGCTTCCTCAACTTCTTCAATGGTCACACCCTTTATACACAACTGCAGATGTCCACCAGCCAGCCTTAACAGGCCTAGTGAATACTGCAGAATGCATGTCATTTAGCAGAGGCTTTTATCCAAACTGAATGACAGTCATACACGCAGACATTTTGTTATGGGTGACCCCAGCAGGAATCAAACCCACTACCATGGCGTTGCAAGCACCATGCTCTACCAACTGCACCACACAGGACAACAGAGCGTTAACTAGTACAGTGTTAACCAGCATAGTGATGTACCTGTTGGCTCCATCTCTGACAGGGGATACCAGAGCTGGTGATGTTGACTGGTCCTTGGTAGAACCTTCCTTTGTCATTGTAACACGTTGCTGTTCAGACAAATCATCAGTATTAGACTGCAAGATAGAAATGTAATATTGTAAATAATGTTTTTTTTTTTTTATACATTATATATATATTTATATTATACAATTCTTAGAACTCAGATACAAGACCTGAAACTAGACTTACTTGTGACTTGATCTTTCTTTATATCTAAAACACAAAGAGCGTTTGAGACAAATCATAAGTGTTAGAGAATAAATTAGTATTAGAGAATAAATTAGTACTAGAACAAGATATAAACCATAGTAGCTGGTAAACATCCATAGTTTACTATAGCTAGTCTAACAATACTATACTTTTACTGTAGTATTTACTAGTGTTTTTGTTGGACAAAATACTCAAAGAGCACATTTTCCATAACATGCAGGTAGGTAGGACTGAGGTCTGAATGGGTAGTTCAGAGCTGCTGCTGTTTTCTATAGCCTGTAGGGAACACAATGCATATTCTATACTTGGCATGTCGGTTTCTCATGGAAGGCACAAATAGGGATGGGTGGGGTATACGTACAGAACACAATGCATAGTATATACTTGGCATGTCGGTTTCTCGCTCATGGATGGCACAAATAGGGATGGGTGGGGTATACGTACAGAACACAATGCATAGTCTATACTTGGCATGTCGGTTTCTCGCTCATGGATGGCACAAATAGGGATGTGAGGGCGGGGAATGGGTGGGGTATACGTACATTAAACACTGTAGTATATTATAGTAATTACTGTAGTTTTTTGCGATCTGCAGTATACTGTAGTATTTACTATAGTATTCTACAGTATACTACCACATTTTATAGCAAGTACTACACATGATTGAGGGATACTACAGCATGTAGTATAGTATTCTACAGTATAATACAGTTTACTATATAATTACATTTACATTTACGTCATTTAGCAGACGCTCTTATCCAGAGCGACTTACAAATTGGTGCATTCACCTTATAGCCAGTGGGATAACCACTTTACAATGTGTATTTTTATTTTTATTTTTTCGTATTTTTTTTATATATATATATATATTTTTTTTTTGGGGGGGGGGGGGGGGGGGGGCGGGGGTTGGGGTAAGGGAGGGGTAGAAGGATTACTTTATCCTATCCCAGGTATTCCTTAAAGAGGTGGGGTTTCAAATGTCTCCGGAAGGTGGTGAGTGACTCCGAATTCTATAGTAAGTACTATAATATTCTACAGTAAACTGCAGTATTTTTTTTTTTTGTGGTCAGTGTACTACTTTTGACAATGGCCCAAAGATCTAAGGTTAGGGCCCATAGAGCTCTGGTCAAACGTAGTGCACTATATAGGGAATAGGGTGCCATTTGAGACACATCATGGTTTCAGAGTCTCTTACCGACGAAGGGTAGGGGTGTGCAGGCTCCTGGCTGTGTGTGCAGTGAGGGCAGGGCCATGCAGTCGGGCATGGGGATAGAGAGGCCGGAGGAGCCAGTGGAGTGCAGGGCTTCATGGGAGTTCCCTACCATCAGGAGCCACTCCCTATGACAGTAGAGCTCCTTCACCGCCAGACAGTGCTCCCTGGAGTGACACAGTAGAGAAACGGCATCCAACACTGTCATTATTGGCTGTGGCCAGAAGATCCCAAACCCAAAACCCATATCTGTGTTTTACATTTAAGTCATTTAGCAGACGCTCTTATCCAGAGCGACTTACAGGAGCAATTAGGGTTAAGTGCCTTGCTCAAGGGCACATCGACAGATTTTTCACCTAGTCGGCTCGGGGATTAGAACCAGCGACCTTTCGGTTACTGGCACAACGCTCTTAACCACTAAGCTACCTGCCGTTTTACATAGGCCCTGGACTGTACCATTTTTTACATTACTGTGCTAGAGAAAAATCATCCAATGTTTGCCGTAATCATACATGGAAGACAACACACTGTATCCAACCCTGACAACATGGAACAGACAATCCCAAAGCCAAAGCCAACACCCATCTGTGTGTTCTACATGGGCTATACAATAATGACTTTCCTAGATCATCTAGCATTTACACTGCAATGCATTTCTACTGCAAAGTTATTGAATGAGCATGCTGTCTAAGACACAATCTCAAATATACAATTCCAGCAGAGTTGCCTGCAGACTGGTTTAAAAGCAGGTCCCAGGTCAGAGGGGTTACCTGCAGACTGGTTTATGAGCAGGTCCCAGGTCAGAGGGGTTACCTGCAGACTGGTTTAAAAGCAGGTCCCAGGTCAGAGGGGTTACCTGCAGACTGGTTTAGGAGCAGGTCCCAGGTCAGAAGGGTTACCTGCAGACTGGTTTATGAGCAGGTCCCAGGTCAGAGGGGTTACCTGCAGACTGGTTTAGGAGAAGGTCCCAGGTCAGAAGGGTTGCAGTCCTGGAAGGAGAGATGACAGAGCAGGGAGTGGGCGGCAGGGCTACAGAGCATGCCCAGTCCGTCGAGCTCCGCCCAGGCCCTCTGAGCCAGGAACTCCTGAGTGTCCTCGGGGTCGTTGAGGGAGGAGTTAAAGAAGACCAGCGCATCGCTCCGTAACACGCCTCGACACACGTCACCACGGTATGCACTGCAATAACCAGCACTTCCTTTATACAGCCTGTAACACATAAACAACATATTATATACTGGTCACGACTTCATCCGAAGCTGCCTCCTCTCCTGGTTCGGGCAGGCTTCGGCGTTCGCCGTCACCGGCCTTCTAGCCACTGCCGCTCCTCATCTCATCACTCCATTTGTCTTGTCTTGTCAAATACACACACCTGGTTCATATTCCCCTCATTAGTATGTGTTTAAGTGTTCCCTCTGCCCCCTTGTCCTTGTGGGTGATTGTTCATTGTGAGGATTAGTAGCTTGGTTGAGCTGAGTATTTTGTATTGCTGGGGTATTTTCCCCGTGTGCATGTTTGTTCCAGTGCGCCTGTTTTGCGCACTGGACTGGTTACTCTGTATTCCGGAATAATCTCTGTATTCTGTGATTTACCCTCCGGCGCCTGACTCCTTCAAATCACGCATCACAACACTACAATACCGTGCACACCTCTTATATAACCTGCAACATATAGACAACATCAGACCAGGTTTCAAATACTATTTATGGTATTTCAATTACTTCCAAACACATTTGGAAGTAACTATTTAGATATTTTTTTTTGAAAAGACAAGTAGTTCAGTATTGGAAATACTAAAATACACTGACTCAAATACACTCCCATGCATTTAACCCAGCTATGTGAAAATAGTATTTTAAATAAGTATTAGAAAATTATTTGTATTAACACAACAAACACCCTATACAACCTGTATTAACACAACAAACACCCTACACATCCTGTATTAACACAAACACCCTATACATCCTGTATTAACACAACAAACACCCTATACAACCTGTATTAACACAACAAACACCCTATACAACCTGTATTAACACAACAAACACCCTATACAACCTGTATTAACACAAACACCCTATACATCCTGTATTAACACAAACAGCCTATACAACCTGTATTAACACAACAAACAGCCTATACAACCTGTATTAACACATACAAACAGCCTATACATCCTGTATTAACAGCCTATAGGAGAGGAGAGTCAGTCTTACCTCCACTCTACAGGGAAGAGACAGGATCCATTGACCAGCAGCAGATCAGGACCCAGTAGGAACAGATGAACACAGGTTAATGATCCATTGACCAGCAGCAGAGCAGGACCCAGTAGGAACAGATAAACACAGGTTATTGATCCATTGACCAGCAGCAGAGCAGGACCCAGTAGGAACAGATAAACACAGGTTATTGATCCATTGACCAGCAGCAGAGCAGGACCCAGTAGGAACAGATAAACACAGGTTATTGATCCATTGACCAGCAGCAGAGCAGGACCCAGTAGGAACAGATAAACACAGGTTATTGATCCATTGACCAGCAGCAGAGCAGGAACCAGTAGGAACAGATAAACACAGGTTATTGATCCATTGACCAGCAGCAGAGCAGGACCCAGTAGGAACAGATAAACACAGGTTATTGATCCATTGACCAGCAGCAGAGCAGGACCCAGGACAACAGATAAACACAGGTTATTGATCCATTGACCAGCAGCAGAGCAGGACCCAGTAGGAACAGATAAACACAGGTTATTGATCCATTGACCAGCAGCAGAGCAGGACCCAGTAGGAACAGATAAACACAGGTTATTGATCCATTGACCAGCAGCAGAGCAGGACCCAGTAGGAAACAGATATAACACAGGTTATTGATCCATTGACCAGCAGCAGAGCAGGACCCAGTAGGAACAGATAAACACAGGTTATTGATCCATTGACCAGAAGCAGAGCAGGACCCAGTAGGAACAGATAAAACACAGGTTATTGATCCATTGACCAGCAGCAGAGCAGGGACCCAGTAGGAACAGATAAACACAGGTTATTGATCCATTGACCAGCAGCAGAGCAGGACCCAGTAGGAACAGATAAACACAGGTTATTGATCCATTGACCAGCAGCAGAGCAGGACCCAGTAGGAACAGATAAACACAGGTTATTGATCCATTGACCAGCAGCAGAGCAGGACCAGAGGACAACAGATAAACACAGGTTATTGATCCATTGACCAGCAGCAGAGCAGGACCCAGTAGGAACAGATAAACACAGGTTATTGATCCATTGACCAGCAGCAGAGCAGGACCCAGTAGGAACAGATAAACACAGGTTATTGATCCATTGACCAGCAGCAGAGCAGGACCCAGTAGGAACAGATAAACACAGGTTATTGATCCATTGACCAGCAGCAGAGCAGGACCCAGTAGGAACAGATAAACACAGGTTATTGATCCATTGACCAGCAGCAGAGCAGGACCCAGTAGGAACAGATAAACACAGGTTATTGATCCATTGACCAGCAGCAGAGCAGGACCCAGTAGGAACAGATAAACACAGGTTATTGATCCATTGACCAGCAGCAGAGCAGGACCCAGTAGGAACAGATAAACACAGGTTATTGATCCATTGACCAGCAGCAGAGCAGGACCCAGTAGAAATAGATAAACACAGGTTATTGATCCATTGACCAGCAGCAGAGCAGGACCCAGTAGGAACAGATAAACACAGGTTATTGATCCATTGACCAGCAGCAGACCAGGACCCAGTAGGAACAGATAAACACAGGTTATTGATCCATTGACCAGCAGCAGAGCAGGACCCAGTAGGAACAGATAAACACAGGTTATTGATCCATTGACCAGCAGCAGAGCAGGACCCAGTAGGAACAGATAAACACAGGTTATTGATCCATTGACCAGCAGCAGAGCAGGACCCAGGACAACAGATAAACACAGGTTATTGATCCATTGACCAGCAGCAGAGCAGGACCCAGTACGAACAGATAAACACAGGTTATTGATCCATTGACCAGCAGCAGAGCAGGACCCAGTAGGAACAGATAAACACAGGTTATTGATCCATTGACCAGCAGCAGAGCAGGACCCAGTAGGAACAGATAAACACAGGTTATTGATCCATTGACCAGCAGCAGAGCAGGACCCAGGAGGAACAGATAAACACAGGTTATTGATCCATTGACCAGCAGCAGAGCAGGACCCAGTAGGAACAGATAAACACAGGTTATTGATCCATTGACCAGCAGCAGAGCAGGACCCAGTAGGAACAGATAAACACAGGTTATTGATCCATTGACCAGCAGCAGAGCAGGACCCAGTAGGAACAGATAAACACAGGTTATTGATCCATTGACCAGCAGCAGAGCAGGACCCAGTAGGAACAGATAAACACAGGTTATTGATCCATTGACCAGCAGCAGAGCAGGACCCAGGACAACAGATAAACACTGGTTATTGATCCATTGACCAGCAGCAGAGCAGGACCCAGTAGGAAAAGATAAACACAGGTTATTGATCCATTGACCAGCAGCAGAGCAGGACCCATTAAGAACAGATAAACACAGGTTATTGATCCATTGACCAGCAGCAGAGCAGGACCCAGTAGGAACAGATAAACACAGGTTATTGATCCATTCACCAGCAGCAGAGCAGGACCCAGGACAACAGATAAACACTGGTTATTGATCCATTGACCAGCAGCAGAGCAGGACCCAGTAGGAACAGATAAACACAGGTTATTGATCCATTGACCAGCATCAGAGCAGGACCCAGGACAACAGATAAACACAGGTTATTGATTCATTGACCAGCAGCAGAGCAGGACCCAGTAGGAACAGATAAACACAGGTTATTGATCCATTGTTTCTCTGTAAGGAGAGCAGACAGCTACTCATTGTTTTCACTGAGCAGGGAGAACAAGCTGCTGTTGTGGTCAGATCATAGTAGTGAGGAGTCCAGGGAGGCGTGTGTGTGTGTGTGCGTGCGTGCGTGCGTGCGTGCGTGCGTGCGTGCGTGCGTGCGTGCGTTAGCTACAGCCTTACATTGTTGACCCCATGCAGAGGGCCTGGCTGTGGTCACTGAGGTTCTGGGCTGAAGAGCGATAACAAACTATTTTATTTCAAATCAAACAAATGCATTTTCTGCAGCTTTTACTGAGATTAAACTGGGTTTTTGCTGCCTTGGTAACATAGTCCGGTCTACTACAGTCCTGTATAATTGTGCTGATTGAGGTTGGAGTCAGGCTGGGAGTCTTTGAGGTGAAACAGTGATCCAATGGGGAGTGAGGGAGTAGAAATACCAGAGCTAACTAGGAGACACACCACAGACTCAGAGCAGCTAGCAAAACACAGCAGAGTTCAAACCAACACACTGGGTAAACAGCACCTTCTTCTAAAACACAGGGTATGTAGATACGTGCTATTGCCAATAGTCAAAAGCAGTGTATGGAGAGGCTGATAGGGAACAGGGTGCCGTTCAAAGGGGGCGATCGGGGCCTACCTTGGACAGTGACTCCGGCTGAAGATTTAGCAGATTTGGCCCCAGCGCTGTGTCTGTTGGAGGCCAGACAGGTGTAGCGAGCAGGTTTAGTCACCGTGACATGTAGTACAGACAGGATCACTTCCCCTACTAACGTCTCCTCCACAGAGCCACCCGAAACCTGATGGAATAACACAAGATAGATACACTTTAGAGGACTGTGTGTGAGTGTGTGTGTGTGTGTGTGTGTGTGTGTGTGTGTGTGTGTGTGTGTGTGTGTGTGTGTGTGTGTGTGTGTGTGTGTGTGTGTGTGTGTGTGTGTGTGTGTGTGTGTGTGTGCATCAGTGGAGGCTGCTGAGGGGAGGACGGCTCATGATAATGGTAGAAATGGAGCACATGGAAACCATGGAAACCATGTGTTTGATGTATTTGATACCCTTCCACCTACTCCGCTCCAGCCGTTACCACGAGCCCGTCCTCCCCAATTAAGGTGCCACCAACCTCCCCACTGAAACAACGTCGTTGAGGAGACCAGGACATGAATGTGCTCTAACAGGGTCGAGGTAGCCAGTAGTGGGTGTAGTTCTGCTCCAGCCGTTACCACGAGCCCGTCCTCCCCTACTCCGCTCCAGCCGTTACCATGAGCCTGTCCTCCCCAATTAA